TTCGCATCCTATGTCGATCCTCTGCCACTTCTTGTTCTGGGGCTTTTTCACCTGGATCTTCTTGGTCCTCTTTCTTCTTCCTCTTGTAATTCTCCCCCTCCTCCTCCTACCCCTCCTCCTCCTTCTCCGCCTCCTCATTCTTCTTCTTCTGTGTAGTCCTGTGGTGAACGTGCTGGTCTTGCAATCTTGTTGACCTGCGTTCTATCCTGCGCGGTACCAGTGAACGGTAACCCCGGCCATTCCTTGCACACAGGAGGAAACTTAGAAGGCAAAATAAAACAAACAGTATGTCACAGCAAATAATTTCCATTGTAACAAATGGAATTGAAACTAAATCTTAGTAAATTTTAAATCTCCTCCTCCTCCCTCTCCTCCGCCTTCTTGTTAATCTTCCTAATATTCTTCTCCCCCCCTCTCCTCTTCATTCTCTTCCTTCTTCTCCCCCTTCTCGTCCTCCCTCCCCCCTCTCCGCCTTCTCCTCCTCCTCCTCTTCCTCCGCCTCCCCCTCACCTCCTCTTCCTCCTCCTTCCCTTGGCCCTCCTCTTTCTTCTCCCTCCCCCTCCGCCAACCCCCACTCCCTCCTTCTCTCTTCCACCTCCTCCTCCCTTTCCCCTTCCTACTCCTCCTGTTCCTCTTCCTCTTCTTTCACCCCCTCCCTCCTCTTTCTTCCCCTCCCTCCTCCTTCTTCTTCTCCCTCTTCCTCTTCCTCCTTCCCCTCCTCCTCTTCCTCCTATTCTTATTCCTCTTATTCCTCCTATTCTTATTCCTCTTATTCTTCCTTCCCCTCTTCCTTCTTCTCTTCCTCTTCCTCCTCTTACGGGCTCAAATTTGACCAGGAGACTCCAAATATCGTTTCTCACATAAGCTTTATATTAAATCAGTTTAATCGAGGTTAGGTTACATTAGCTGCAATTTGGTGAGGTTAGGTTAGGTTAGGTTAGGCTCAAATTTGACCAGGAGACTCCAAATTTCGTTTTCTCACATAAGATTTATATTAAATCAGTTTAATCGAGGTTAGGTTACATTAGCTGCAATTTTGGTGAGGTAGGTTAGGTTAGGTTAGGTTAGGCTCAAATTTGACCAGGAGACTCCAAATTTCGTTTTCTCACATAAGATTTATATTAAATCAGTTTAATCGAGGTTAGGTTACATTAGCTGCAATTTGGTGAGGTTAGGTTAGGTTAGGTTAGGTTAGGTTAGGCTCAAATTTGACCAGGAGACTCCTCCTCCTCTTCCTCTTCCTCATTCTTCTCCTTTTCTTTCTCCTGTTCCTCCTCCTCTTCCATTACAAATTTCATAACACTGCACCAAAATATTGCCTAACTATTTATCTATAATTTACCAAGATCTCAATTACTTATCGACATTCTGTAGTGAAGGAGCCGGGGAAATGTGGGGATGGGAAACGAGAGACACTCCCTCCTTCTCATCTGAAAGGTGACTGAGGGCCGTACTTTAAAAACTTTCGCCAGTGCTGGCGTTCGCCTGGCGAAGCTTCGCCTGGCGAACATCTGAGTGAGGGAGGCCTTACTTTTAAACCCAACGTTCGCCAGGCGCTAACATCTTGCATTCCCGCTAAATCTAGAGCAAATTTGTTTACATCTGCAGTGCACATAACATAACCTAAACTTAATTATTAATCTCGAGAGAAGACGAAAATGTTTCCGCAATAGTCTCACTTTATACTATAGCAAAGGAGTTAAAATTTTTTATGCTATAACAAAGAAGTTGAAAATATCTTTATACTATAACAAAATTAACTTTATACTTTATGCTATACTACACTTTATACTATAAAAAGGTTAACTTTATGGCCCGTACTTTTAAAACCTTTTGCTTTTTCTCGCGTTTTTTTTCATTCGCCGAAGCGCTAGATTTATCAGGAATCCAAGATGTTAGCGCCTGGCGATCCCTTTCGTTCGCCAGGCCTGGCGAACACCTGCCTTAGTTTAAAAGTAAGGCCTCCCTCACTCAGATGTTCGCCTGGCGAAGCTTCGCCAGGCGAACGCCAGCATTGGCGAAAGGTTTTAAAAGTACTTTATACTATACTATATCAACCCTATACTTTTATACAAAAAATAACTTTATACCTTAACGAGTTTAAAAATTACTATTTTACTATTCCTAACTGATGTAAGATATTGAACTGTAGGCCTATAAGGGTATCATTAAAGACGCCTCATTATAGGGCGGTGGAGCACTACAGCTCTGTTTCTATAGCATAAAGTAAACATGCCGCCATAAAAAACACTTCTGGTAATATTTGTGAAAAGAACATTATCCTTACAACCAAAATAACAACAACCTAAATCTAAATAAGTCATCTCGGGGTTGGGGGGTAGGAATACAGCTGATGTCTTGAGCTCTCAACTGGAACATCGAAGGTCTTGAAAAAAATACGTATATACGTTATATCATAACAAATTATGATTTTAAGATATTTTATCATTTCAATGTGATTCCTACATCCTATCATACACAAATATGTTACTAATTTATAATTTGAAAGCAAGAAAATGGTATTCAAACAGCTCTCTTCGCCAGGCTGTTCCAATATGATCTTTCGCCAGCCCTGGCGAACGTTCGCCAGGCATGAATTTAAAAGTACGAAATTCCGGATCGCCCGGCGAAACCCTTCGCCAGCCCTGGCGAAAGGTTTTAAAAGTACGGGCCTGAGGCGTACGAGTTCGTCAACCAGTCCAAAGGGTGCGAAAGATATTGATAACGACGATAACAATAATAACGATAATGACAGTGAAAATAATATTGATGGTTATGATAATGAAGACACATAAAAAATGTATAGATCAAGAGATATTATGACGAACATAATTATGAGTACCTTGCCTTAACATTCCATAATCGAGGAGCTGTCAAATGTTGGTAGCAAGGCAGGCATCAAGCAACCTTCCCTTCCCTCTTTCTCCTCCTCTTCCTTCTCCTTCTTCGTCTTCTCCTCCTTCTTCATTTCTTCTTTTTCATCATCATTTTCATTTTCTTCATCTTCTTCATCGTTTTCTTCTCTTGACCTTTATTTACTTTACCTTCCATTATTTTAATCGTGTCCATCTACATAAATAGAAATTATATTTCCTTAACTAAGGAGTGCCTCCATAGATCTGCCAGTGGTTTTGCTTTTTTACGTTTTTTTTTTTTTTTTTTTTTAATCATTTTATCTGGTTCATCTCTTCTGATACCAAGAGCTGCTTCTCCTATTGATCTAAAACTTCTGCGTTCCTGTATTATCTCAAAACCTTTATGTATTCTTTTTGAATGTTTTCAATCAAATGTATTTCTGTGAGACTTATAGCTAAATGATTGTTTTTTATTTTGCTCTCACAAGTATTTAATTTTTGTTGGATTTGTTTTTGGAGTATTATGTAGTATAAAAGATTCTTATGTATTAGTTCTCTGAATGGAAGTGGAGTTTTCTAACTCCCTCTTAAGAAAACAAGCATTTCTCACAGGACTAAGCATTTGTCCATATACCCCTAGGTTTCGGTTTCCTTGAGATTCCTTCCCATTAAATGCCATTCTTATTTTCATCTTATATTCTAACCCTATCTGGCATTAGTCTCAAGGCCTTCTTCCGGCATTTGCCATCTCTAAAGGCACTCTGTTGTTTCGTTTGTAAAATGGATATAGTATTGATTGTTCTTCCTGTTATTAGCACCTCTTTCTCTGTCTCTCTCTGTCTCTGTGTCTCTGTCTCTCTCTGTCTGTCTGTCTCTGTCTCTCTCTCTCTCACGATTGCATTCTTCCGATTCTTCAAAATTGTAAGTACGCTCTTTGTTTTTCATACTTCTTCTGGACTATTTTTGCTCTTTTCCTTTGTTTGTTTTGACTTCTGCCATCTAGAATAGCTGACAACTTGCCAGTCAGCCTCATTCGCTGTAGCCGGTTGCTCAGTTTCTGAGCAACTGACTTCAGTTTCCTTTTTTGCATTATTTCTTCTTGTTTTCGTTTTTGCCTCCGGTCTGTTCTGTCGGTTGGTCTTTCCTTGTATTCGCTTTTACTTTGTTCATTTCAAGTAGTGTTTTTTTCGGGTTCATTTCAGAATCTTCGTCTTTGAGCTTCCCAATTTAACTTAAAAACTGAATTTTTCGTCCTTTCAGCACTTCATTTATAATGTTTCTATTAAATTGTTCGTCATACATCTTTTTTTAAATATATGTATTTCCTTCCCCCCCCCCTCTCTCTCTCTCTCTCTCTCTCTCTCTCTCCTCTCTCTCTCTCTCTCTCTCTCTCTCTCTCTCTCTCTCTCTCTCTCTCTCTCTCTCTCCATATATTCCATCACCAGCTTTAAGCCTACTTGTTTTTGTTCACTCACAGGGTCCATTCTCCTGGTCTATTTTCCAAATCGTTCAGTTCTTAAAATAACCTATTTTACTGCATTCTTTTTTATCCCTAATTAGCTCCTCTAAGAAGCTGGTTTCTAATACTTTATTTATAGCTGCTTGAGTTTGGTAGTACACGTACACGTTTTTTTTGTGTGTGTACGTTTATGTGTGTGCGTGTGTGTTTTGTGTTGTGTGTGGTGTATGTGTGTGTGTGTGTGTGTGTGTGTGTGTGTGGTGTGTGTGTGTGTGTGTGTGTGTGTGTGTGTGTGTGTGTGTGTGTGTGTGTGTGTGTGTGTGTGTGTGTGCGTGTGTATGTGTGTGTTGTGTGCGTGTGTATGTGTGTGTTGTGTGCGTGTGTGTTGTGTTGTGTGCGTGTGTGTGTTGTGGTGTGTATGCGTATGTGTGTTGTGTGCGTGTGTATGCGTTTTTGAGTTTGTTTGCGTGTATGCGTTTGTGTGCGTGCGTGCGCACGCGTGTGACAAGTACATATGGCATTTCTTTCTAACTTCGATGTTTAGCCAAGAAAGATGCTAAGGAAATTCTCTCGCTCGAGGTAGATTGCGAGAATGCCATTGAGGCGAAAATAAGATGGAACGTAACGACCCAACAGCCTGTTCGGAGTGACGAGCGGTGCGCCAGCGCTCTCACTGTCTAGTCCTTCGTCGCGTAGCGTTAGCCTTACGCAGTCCGTGACAGCCAAGGAGAGGGAGAGGACCTTTTATCAGCAGGTAGGCCTTTCTTCTGTCAATGGCTTTGAGGATAGGGACGGCCGTGGAAAGGTGGGTAAATTATCGTCGGTAATTGGGTTATTCAGAATATAATAGCCGCGCTAAGATAAGGAAAATCTAAGGGCACCCTCACAAAGATATGTAAAAAATACACTCGCTGATGTATGAAATGATCTGCAGAGACAAAGAATAACGGGTGCGGTTATGTCGGAAAGAAATACTGAAAGCAACGTAAAAAATGTGACGTTTTTTTCTGCGGAAAATCCAATGTTTTATTTGTTACCGGAAATGACACACCCTCCAGAGACTAGGGCCTAAAACCAGGGTATCTTGGGAACCTAAACAACCTTTCCTACCTTCTATTTAAACGTGATTTAATATCTTTCACTGTCAGTGGTGATACGCAGCATCTAAATGGTATTTATTACAGAGAGCGACGGACCCTCCCAGAGACAGTCGAAAATATTTCATTGATTCTCAGCGTTGTTTGACACAAGTGCAATTACAACAAATATTTAACTTTATTGGAATTAAGAGAGCGGTAAATGTTGTACACACAAGGTGTAAGCCCTCATGGTAGAGGTAACGGAGACACGCGCGTAGATAGAGAGAAATGGACACCGCCTTGTTATAGAGCGGAAAAATAGTGGGATGGAGCATAGCATAAGTTGCGCCGGACTTATATTTACCGTTAAATGGAAAAAAAAACGGCGGTGTTGTGCTGGGCCTGCACTCCTCTTCACCTTACATTCATCAAAGTAGGAGCAGCAGCAGCCTGGGGAGCATCCGAGGTCTCTTTAGCCCGTGTTGATTGCGGGCTTAGACTCTCTTCCTCATCAATAATGACAGGGCTAGCATCTGGACTCTGCAGATCGCGGGCGAGGACTGCGCTCCTCTCCCCCGATGTCACTCAAAGGCGGGGGAGGAGCATTGACCTCTCTTGGCCGACCCCCTCCGAAACTCGCTCGCTGCTAGGAGTAATTCCTTACCGATCACGCTAAAGGAAGTGCTTCTGGTGGGAATTACTGAAAAAAAGAGAAATATGCATCACAACCTCATTCATAAACTTATTAATGAAATATCACAGAAAACCTTACCATCTGAGGCATTAACAACAAAGAACTAAAACTAAGGTATTACAATAATACAGAGAATGTGAAAGAGTATAACAAGTTGTAACACGAGCTACTAACTAGAAAAGCAATGCTATAAGCAGTAATATACATTACACCACTTACGTTCCTTGTAGAGTCCTTCCATCTTGGGTCTAACCTTTGACTGCAAACCAGGGAGAGTGTGTGCAGACACCTAAGGAAGGATAAGTCCGATATGCGAAGATTAGCCTCGCCCGGGCTATGGGGATGCCCGGCCTGTGCCGACAAATGTCGACTCGATCAACGTGTCAGCAAGTGCTGACGCGACAGAGCTTAGTCCTTACCCACCGTGGTGCCCAGCCACAGCAGTAACCTCCGGGCGACAATTGTAACTTCTCGCGCCTGGGCGGGGCGCGAACCGCCGACCCCTCGGATGAGAAGCCGACACGTTACCACTGTACTAGCTTGGAGGCTGCAGACACCTCAGAAACCCCTGCATTTATACGCCTACAACTAGGCTTGTCCTCCCCAATTTCCCAACACGTGCCACACGCGAATTTTCGACATTGCCGCTTAGTGAGACTTTTTACAGAAAATTTCCTTGCAAGGAGCAATTGCATCTTGCAATTTCTCTGCTTGTAAATCCATGACGGCGATCATTCTCCTATCTTCAAACCATTCTCTATCAAGGGTATTTGTTTGATTATACCAAGTGCGCTCAGAGAGCTGTAATTACAAATCTAAACAAGGTGTGGGGAATTTCGTGTTCATATTGTAAACAGAAACGTTATTAACTGACACGTGCAATTTATTCAGGCTGAAGTGTCCGAAATGAAGCGGGTTGAGCGTATAATAGCCTTCATATCAACCATAAACATGTAAAGGGTATAAGTTACTTATAGCGACGCGCGTAGATAGAGGAAAATAGACACCGCCATCTTATAGAGCGGAAAAATAGATGGGGATCGATTATAGTTTATTATGCATTGGCATTATATTCACCGCTAAATGACGAAAATATAACGCGCGGCCGCCTTTCAAATTCAAAGTCGATAAGCTTGTTTACCTTGCGAGGAAAAACACGACACTGACCCAAGAACGCATTTTTGCATTCGCGAACTAGTCCGTGTATCATTACGCGCTTGTCAAAACGATATTTGGCTAATTGTGTCTGCTGGTACGCATTTATACCTACCTTTAAAGTCTTTTAGTAATGATGTTATACTTCATTTGCATATTTTTATATTTATCTATACCCTCATATCGAATCCTGCGCATCGAGTGTTTCACTTTCTTGCGCCAGCCACAGGTTGACAGCTCGCCGTACCGCTCATTTCGAGATTGAAAGCCGGTAAGGAATGTTGCGTTTCCAGTGTTGTGTTGATTCTAGGTTCTTTTTAAGACCTTTACAGTGGCATCGAAGAATAATTAGACTTCAGTAACCATCCCAGTTTTATATCTGAGCCCATCAAGAGCTCCAAAGGACGAAAAAGGTGATTAAAATCGAAGCAATACCAACAGTGCAAAGTAACGAAAGTTTCACGTTTCCGGATATAAAGGTATTTGGTTTATTATTTTACGGTGTGAATGCAGCTCTATCTTGCCGTACATACCGTGGTGGAGAAAATGTGTCCTGGGGGGTGTTGGGTGGCTTGCCCCCCATCAACCCTCCCCTCGGGCAGTGCCCGAAGGGCACGCCTAGTCACGGCAATTTATATTATATTAGGTTAGTTTATTGGTCAATACGTTTTTGGGGGTTGGAACGTGTGAATTCCCGTAGAGTTTTACCGAAATGTGGGTTGGGTTCCCGTAGTTTTTGATTTCGCGTCAGTCCGTAAACTTTCAAAGATGGCGGTTACATCCGTAGTTTCATTGGCCGATTTTAAGCGCTTTTTGTGATAGTTTTACGCATTTTTGATCGTTATTCTTATTTAAGCTTGTTTTACCCCATAATTTCCCTGATATACTTCATGCCCTCCCCTGCTAACGGGACTATCAAATCAAGATCGTCGATGGAGAAATGGTACTCGATCTCCTGAACGATTCATTCGCAAAAAAAACAACGCTGAAAATCGATGAAATCATAGGATTTCATGCAGAAAAACATCATTTTTTCGACTTAGTCTGAGAGGGTGCCTCGCTCTTTGTAACAATTACCGAATCTTGCTGTTTAAGAATGGATAGGTGCAACTTACAGGAATCAATCTTTAGTTTAGGCATGATCGCTGAAGTGTGTATTAATAACAAAGATGTTAGGAGCAAATTCAAGACGCAACCTCATCGTAGCATTATCTAGAAGATACATAACTGTCGAGACAACGTCTAATAAAAGGGGCGACAAAAAGTAAGCCTCTTTTTTCATGTGAGATATTGACTTTTTCTCTTACTCGCATTTTGAAAATCATGTGGTGGCATGGGTTTCTGGGCAGGGGCCCCAACAGGCTCGGGAGGTGCTGAGGGAACTATTCCTGCCTGGGCAGGAGGTTGTATAACCTTTAGTATTCCCCAAGAGTCGCTCTCCAAGGTCAAGGTCAGGAAGGTTGTTAAGTGCTAGGGCCACCTTGGCATGATGCCTAAAGCCCAGTTCAGGGGAGATTAGATTCTGCATATGAGCATGCAGGAGGACAATCATAATCTCCTTAGAGAGGTCGTTTGGGAGGGCCAGATGAATGGTGGGCTCGACTTTGCTCTTCTCCTTAATGCCCTGACGGACCTGCAGAATAAGAGGCTTCCATGCGTTTGTGGTGGCCTGAATGGTCTCTTGGGCGGCTTTCTGGGCTACTACCCTGATGGGTTTGGTCTCACATTCTTTTTCTTTTATTTTCTCATCTGAGGTTTTAATGGCCTCTTTACAGGTAGGACAACTGTTGGCAAATGTCCTATGAGCTCCACCACAGTTAACGCATTTCTTGACGGAGCTCTTGCAGTCCCTATAGGAGTGCGTTCCAGAGCTACACTCAGTCTTGGTCTCCTCCTTGCACTGGGGCTTGAGGTGGCCGTAGCCGAAGCAGTTCATACACTGCTTGAGAGGTGTGAACCTCACTCAATCTGCCAAGGGGCGACATATAGCTTGAAGAGATGATTCCCTTTTCTTTAATTGACTTAGCTGCTGCGTGGTCAGAGAATCTGACCTTGGTCATGTAGTTCGTCGGAGGAGGCCATGATTTCATCAGCGATGTCGAGTCTTTTGAGAACGAGAGTCAGCTTGGCTTTCATTTCTACAGGTAAAATTAGCGTAAAACCGTGCTTCTCCAAGGACTGGAGAACCTCGGTGGAAAAAAGCCTTTCGGCATGTTCATCGTTCTCGATGAGGGCGAGGTAGTCCTCGTGGATGGCAAAGTACTGAAGTACTCGAATCTCAGCACAAAAGAGTGCATTAGCGAGGATCTCGCGTTTCCGGGGTGTGGAGCCACCGGGAACTTTAATTTTAATATTGGCCATGTTACCAAGATTGCATGAGTGGGGTGAGGTGAGGTTGGAAAAAGGAGCCTACACTCGACCCCCCCCCCCCCTAGAGACAGACTGGTTGAGTTCTCCAGTGTCTTAGAGGCTCGGAGCTCTGTGTTGGGCTGCCTCCATATTGCCAATCCTTGCTACAAAGGGGCAACAGGTGGGCAGCACGTCACCCATAGGAATGCAAAAGCCCTCGAGGGACTTGTGCAGGTCCAGGTAACCACAGTAAAGGAAGCAGATTAGTATGAGAAATAGGGCACCTAAAGGTCACCTCAGACTGCTGGGCCTTACTTTACAGGTTGCCCTGTGATAGCGAGAGCCGCGGGTCTGAGTAAAGATGCAATGGTCCTGTATCACCGTTTATAGCTGTAAGAAGGAAACCTTGAAGAGGCAATGGCAAGGCAAGATCTCTGTAAAACAGAGGTATTGACATTTAATTTTTACTTTATGAGA